TCACGTCTCCCTTCTCTCCCACGTCCGTTCTGGCATCCCGCCTTCCTCCTTGCTTCTCCCCTCTCCCTCCTCTCTCCTTCTCATGCTCCTGTTTCCTGTTGCCCCATCCCCGGCCGGAGGATCCGTGAGTGCGACGACAACGGCCTGGGCGAGCCCTACGCCATCGTGCAGTTCACCTCAAAGGGCGAGTGCGAGAAGGCGTTCAACGAGAAGCAGGGCGGCAAGATGAGCACGCACCGGGTGGTCCTGTCAGGCTGCAGCGAGTCGGAGTTCAAGGCCATCGAGAGGATTGTGGAGCCGCCCCCAGGGACCTACGCCTACGAGAAAAAAACGATCACGACGCTCACCGACGCCGCAGCGGAGTCGCACGAGTCGCGCCCGGGGGCCTCCGCGGCCTGGGACGTGGCCTGGAAGCAGGCCTCCAAGCCGAAGCCGGAGCAGGAGCAGCGCACCCCGGCGAGCTGGGTGATCAACGGACCGCCGAAACAGCAGCCCGAAGAGGAGCCCAAGGCGTGGCAGCCGTCCTACCTGGTCAGCCAGGACCCGTCAGAGACGAAGCCGTATGTGTGCGTACCTAATCCCGCCTTCCCTGTACTCTTGGCATCACGATGTTTCACAACGGGCGATTCTGAGCTGTTTCAAACCCCGGGATCCTCTCGGATCGATCCGGCTCGGACAATGGCGACGAAAGATGGGGTCTAGGGCTACAGTTTTTCGGGACGTTGGATCTCAGGGAGTGTGTGTGTGTGTGTATGTACCCTATCCCTCCTCCGTCCCTCGCCTATCGCCGTCTTTGCTCAGGTATGAACGCACTGGAGTTATGACTCAGCCCTTTGAGTAAAAGGCTTCTCTCTAACATCATCATCATGCTACGGAGCCCAGGGTCCTACGAAACGCTGAGTGGAACCGGCTCTCTGTCCCCTCCCCTACTTCTACAGAAGCGTCGCGGTCTACCTGTAGGCCTCCTGCCAAACATGCTCCCAGAGCCCGTTGCGGTTCGTTCAGCGTGCCCTTACACATATGTCTGTTTGAGACGGTGTTCTGAGACATCGGCTCAGAGTTCCAAGCCACTGGCGCGCCCCACGCGCCTGGCAGGAGGTTGTGAGGAGGTGGGTCCTCGCAGAGACCTGCGCGGACCTCCGACAGCTTTCTGCCCGAACGCCTGCCGATTGGTAGCCAACTGGGGATGCCGTGGTCCGGCGTTTCGGGACGGCGTGCGAGATTCTCCCAGGCTGGGGCCATAGGTGGACCTTAGACCCCCCCGTTCAGGAGGAGGAGAAGGAGGAGGAGGGCGGAGGAGGCGGAGGAGGAGGAGGAGGCGGAGGAGGCAGGAGGAGGACGAGAGGAGCAGGAGGAGGAGGAGGGAGAGGAGAAGGAGAAGGAAGAGGAGGAGGAGGAGGAGGAGGACGAGGAGGAGGAGGAGGAGGAGGAGGCGGAGGCGGAGGCGGAGGCGGAGAAGGAGGCGGAGGAGGAGGAGGAGGCGGAGGAGTTGGAGGAGGAGGAGGATGAGAAGGAGGAGGGAACGCCTCACATGGATAGCGTGCTCTTCGGAGACTGATGCTGCACGCTATCTTTCAAACGCCAACCGTATGCACTCGACCTTGGAACCCGAGGACCTGTCGACAATTTCCCAGGGACGAGTCATGCCATGTATGTCTATGCATGTAGGTTGGATGACCTGGGAGCCGGATAGTGGCCTCCAGACACCGAGAACGACGAACACAGATCCGTCCTGATGTTTGCCAAGACGTTGAGCGCGGAGGGGCGGGGCCCCAGCTGGACCCCCAGACACATCGCGGGGCTCGTTCCGGCCGGCGAGACTCCAAGGAGAGAATCTGGCCGTGGCCACGAGAAGCCTCCAGAGGGATTCCAGGGAGTACCCCAGACATCAAAGCACCCAGAGACCCTCCCCTCCTCCTCACCCTCCCTCATCCTGCACATCCTCCTCCTCCTCGTCCTCCTCCTCCTCCTCCTCCCTCCTCCTCCTCCTCCTCCTCCTCCTCCTCCTCCTTCCGCTCCTCCTCCGGCCTCCTCCTCTCTCCACCTCCGCCGCCTCCTCCTCCTCCTCCTCCGCCTTCTCCTCCTCCTCCTCCGCCTCCTCCTCCTCCTCGTTCTCCTCCTCCTCCTCCCGCCCTCCTCACTTCTCCAGTCCGCGTCCCGCGGCCCCAGACATCCCGCCCCGCTCCCGGGCAGCTCTGCGCCTTGAGAATCTACCCTTAAGGGCCCCGTGGGCCCGAGAGAGGCCCCCCCTGAGGCCGCACACCGCGTCTGAAAGGGGCAGGGCTGGGAGCCTCCATCCCCTTCCCGAGGAGCGGCGGCGCGCCCAGGGGGAGGAGTGAGAGAGCGGAGGAGGAGGGGGAGGAGAAGGAGGAGGAGGAGGACGAGGAGGAGGAGGATGTGCAGGATGAGGGGGAGGAGGAGGAGGAGGAGAACGAGGCGGAGAGGAAGGCGGGAGGAGGAGGAGGAGGAGGAGGGAGAGGAGGAGGATGGAGGAGGAAGAGGAGGAGGAGGGAGGAGGAGGAGGGAGGAGGGGAGGAGTACAGGAGCAGAGGAGGGTAGGCAGACGCATAGAGGCGGCCAGGGCTTCTGGGAGCCCCTCGCGTCTCCCCGGGAAGCCGCCTGTGCCTCAGCAGTCTCAGACGCTTTTCTTATCCTCCTCCTGCCTCCTCCTCCTCTCCTCCTCCTCATCCCCACCCTCCCCCCTCCTCCTCCTCCTCCTCCTCCTCCTCCTCCTCCTCCTCCTCCTCCTCCTCCCCACCCTACCCCCATCCTCCTCCGCCTCCTCCTCCTACCTCCTCCTCCTCCTCCCTCCTCCTCCTCATCATCCCTTCTCCTCCTCCTCTTTCTCTCCTCCTCCTCCGCCCTCCTCCTCCTCCTCCTCCTCCTCCTCCTCCTTCCGAAGGCCAGCGGTCTCCTAAGCCTTCTCGGAATCCCTGTCCCCTCGCCACGGGGGCAGCTTTGGGGGTCAGGGATCCCTTCTTGAGGCTCCCAGGGCGCCACAGCGGCCCCCAGGGGGCAGACGTGACGAGTAACACTGCGATTCAGATGTGTGCTCTTTTATAACTACATCGTCGGAGCTCGAAGTGAAAGCTTCGATTTCCTTTGAGGAGAAGGCCAAGTCCACTGCGACGGGCTTCATCACGGCCGCCCAGCAGACGGGCCATGGCAGGAGCTACTACAGAGACAACGTCCCCGACCGCTTCAAAAGCGGCAGCTCATCCGGCGACTACTACGGCGGCTCGTCTTCGGGCAGGGACCGCCGCGACGACCGCGACGACCGGGACCATCGGAGGACGAAACATAACCCCAGATTTCCGGCGATCTGTTCTTTTTAATTCCTGGATTTCGATCTTCTGGTGGCCGTCTTCAGGCTCCAGGGCCATCACCGGTGGATTTGGGGCGCAAAACTACCCCAGGGATGTGGTCGAGACCTCACCCTCTGGGGCCGCGGCTTGAGGCAAGCACACCGGCGGACGTCAGGGACTACGGACACGGCAGGTCTGCGCCGTGTCGGCGCGTCGGCGACCCCGATGCGGGCGTTCCAGGTTGCGTGCCGCCTGTGGCCCGGGACCGCCCGGCACTGGACGATCCCCGCTGTCGGGGTGCCGCGATCTCGTCCAAGGCTGAACGATCCACGCGGTGTTGGAAACCAACGCGCAGGTCGTCCCGTCGCGAGCCCGCCGTACGGATCTCACCTGCTGTCGAGGACGTCTAGGTTCGGTGACGGGCTCTTCCCAGGTCCTGGCCTCCACGGGGCAGGCTTCGGGCCTGGAGGCCGTCGGAACATCTACCCGCGTTGACAGATCTGCCAGGATGGACCCCAGGAGGGGCCCGGGGACGATTCGGAGCGGATTCGTGAAGTGTGGTAAGGCCCTCCAGCGTCCATGAACAAATCAAGACGAGTTTCGACATTCTTCTCAAGCGTGCTTTGCACGGGCGTTGGGAGATGGCCCTCGTGAAGGGCAGCGGGTTTAGATGCATATATTATTGTATGGAGAAACGTTCGACGTTCTCTTTTTGATACTTTTCGGTGCCTCGGGGCCGTTTTCTGGCTACGGGACAAGCCATCGGTCCCCAGGGGGGTTGTCGACAGGTTGCATCGGAGCTCTGGCTGCCTTTTTGCCTTTTTGCTGGGCCTCCCAGGAGGCCCTCGTCGCCACTGCTGGGCTCGCCTCGGAGTCCTAGCAGTGGTCGAGAATCTCTGAGAACCCGTAGGAATACATTGGAACTCATGGGAATCCCGAGGAATAATCAGGAATCTCCAGGAACCTTAATAACGGTCAGATCGCACCCCGGGAGAGGTCCGAGGGAGCAGCGGTGTCGACATCTGCGCGTTCCCCCCAGGACCGGGACAGGGACCGCGACCGCGACCGGAAGTGACGGTCGGCGGCGTGCTGCCCATGATGCTGCCAAGAGCCCCGGGACCTAGGACATTCCTGGCCAGGGCTTCTGCAAGATTCGACGGCGCGCCCAGGGGGGACGGCAGAGGGGGTCGGCCTTTTCAGGCGAAATCCTCCAGCCTTCTGAGAAGCTGTCTGAGCCTCCCCCCGAGCACAAGAGGGCTCATCAGAAGGCCAGAGGGTATTTGAAGCCCCCCCTCCCCTCTCCTCCGCCTCTTCTTCCTCCTCCTCATCTTCCGCCTCCTCCTCCCCCTCCTCCTCCTCCTCCTCCTCCTCCTCCTCCTCCTCCTCCTCCTCCTCCTCCTCCTCCCCGTTTTCCTCCTCCCTTTCCTCCTCCTCCTCCTCCTCCTCCTCCTCCTCCCTCTCCTCCTCCCTCTCCTCCTCCTCCTCCTCCTACTTCCTCCTCTCCTCCTTCTCCTCCTCCTCCTCCTCTCCTTCCTCCTCCTCCTCCTCCTCCTCCTCCGCCTCCTCTCCTCCTCCTCCTCCTCTCCTCCCCCTCCGCCCCTTCCTCCACAATTCAACAATATTATGAATACTACTCTCCTCTCTCCCCTTGTGGCGTTCGGGAAATGGCTGTCCCCCCTCCGCGTACTGGTGTTTACACAGGATTCCGGGGAAACGGGTTTACTGCTCTCGCTGAAGCGCTGGCCTCATTTTCGGGCTACCGCTCGTTCCAAATCGTGCTTCCGCCGCAGCGCTGGCCTTATTTCTGCGCTTCCGCTCGTTCCAAATCGTGCTCCCGCTGCAGCGCTGGCGTCATTATTTCCAGCGCCATGCGACCACATGGTTTTCGATCCTTCTAAATACGCCCCAACATATAGAAAACGCCCCCCCCCCCGAACAAAAACCATCGGAAGTGATCCGTAAGGGCTTCGCCCGCTGCCGCCGGCCCCCTCTCTCGGAGAATGGGAGATGCAAAAGCTAAATCATGAGGTCTGGGCGCCGCCGTAAGCAGTGTCGGGACCTGTTCGTTTTTCGACCCTGACCCTACGGATCTGATTGAGGGGTGCCGCCGAATTTCATAAATGTAGCAAATCCTATATGTTTTTGGACCCTGACCCGACGGATCTGCGTGAGGGGTGCCGCCGGATTTCAGAAATGTGGCAAATCCCTTGTGTTTTTGGACCCTGACCCCGCCGATCTGCATGAGGGGTGCCACAGAATTTTACAAATGTAGCAAATCCCTTTTGTTTTTGGACCCTGACCATGCCGATCTGCGTGAGCGGTGCCACCGGATTTCAGAAATGTGGCAAATCCCTATGTGTTTTTGGACCCTGACCCCGCCGATCTGCGTGAGGCGTGCTGCCGGATTTCAGAAATGTAGCAAATCCTTGTGGTTTTGCAACCTGACCCCGCCGATCTGCGTGAGGGGTGCGACAGAATTTTAGAAATGTGGCAAGTCCCTTGTGTCTTTGGACCCTGACCCCGCCGATCTGCATGAGGGGTGCCACAGAATTTTATAAATGTAGCAAATCCTTTTTGTTTTTGGACCCTGACCATGCCGATCTGCTTGAGGGGTGCCACCAGATTTCAGAAATGTGGCAAATCCCATGTGTTTTTGGAACCTGATACCGCCGATCTGCGCGAGGGGTGCCACAGAATTTCAGAAATGTGGCAAATCCCATATGTTTTTGGACCCTGACCCCGCCGATCTGCGTGAGGGGTGCCACCGAATTTCAGAAATGTGGGAAATCCCATGTGTTTTTGGACCCTGACCCCGCCGATCTGCATGAGGGGTGTAAATTGTTACCCCCCCGGAAATTATGAGAACCCTCCCAGGGCGTGGTAAAATTGTCCGTTTTGGGCCTCCCCCCCTCGCGCGGTCCATCAACAAGGAACAGTAGGCAGCAAGAAGTCAACAAGGAACAGTAAGCAGCAAGCAGCAGAACAGAAACAGTGGAAACTGGAAGCTGCAACTGGTACAGGAAACTGCGAAGCTTAGCTCTACAGCCTGATGGCCCCTCAAGGGGGCTTGCGGATTACACAGTCGGTGTCGATTCGTTGATTTTTTGCGCCGCAGAACCCCCCACTTTGGGGCGTGCCACGCCATGGTTTGTCAGGCTACGCGTCCTCATTTCCGCGCTTCCGCTGTTTGGTTTGTTTTGTTTTGTTTTATTCCCCAAACAGCTTGCTGAACGGGGTGCTGTTGTGGTAGAAGCTAACTCCGGCCGAGGGAAGTCGGAGCAGAGACATCCTCACAACAATTTGATGGTCCGGGCCGTTTCGCTTGAGACATCCTCACAAATCTCGTTTCTGAGTTGGCCGGGATTGGCCGTTTCGCCTGAGACATCCTCGAAAAGTTGCGCTCTGGGACGTCGCGCGAGAGGTGGTCTGGGCCGTTTCGCTTGAGACATCCTCGAAACTCTGAGCCCCGAGGTGCCGTGCGAGAGGTGGTCCGGGCCGTTTCGCCTGAGACATCCTCGAAACTCTGAGCTCTGAGATGCCTTGCGCGAGGTGGTCCGGGCCGTTTCGCCTGAGACATCCTCGAAACTCTAACCTCGGAGATGCCGCGCGAGAGGTGGTCTGGCCCGTTTCGCTTGAGACATCCTCGAACTTCTGAGCTCTGAGATGCCTTGCGCGAGGTGGTCCGGCCCGTCTCGCCTGAGACATCCTCGCAAGTCTGAGCTCAGATGCCGTGCGCAAGGTGGTCCGGCCTGTTTCGCACAAGACATTCTCACAACTCTGAGCTCCCAGATGCTCCGCAAGAGGTGGTCCAGCCTGGGAGCCCAGAAGACCACATGTTACATATCTTCCCTGGGGCCCTGGGAGCCCTCCTGAGACATCCTCGAACTTCTGAGCTCTGAGATGCCTTGCGCGAGGTGGTCCGGCCCGTTTCGCACAAGACATTCTCGCAACTCTGAGCTCTGAGATGCCGTGCGCAAGGTGGTCTGGCCTGTTTCGCACAAGACATTCTCGCAACTCTGAGCTCCCAGATGCCGCGCAAGAGGTGGTCCAGCCTGGGGGCCCAGAAGACCACATGTTACAGAACCCTGGGAGCCCCAGGAGGCCCCAGAGAGCTCCAGGAGGCCGCAGGACGCCCAGGACAAGCTCCAGGGGTCCGCAGGAGATTCCCAGGAGGCTCCCAGGAGGCCCCAGGAGGCCCCCTATTAGAACGTGTTAAGTTAATACACATCCGGTGTCGATTCGTTGATTTTTCCTGCTCTTGTGGCCCCCCCATTTTTGGGGGGCCCGACGGCCACATGTTAGATATCCCCCCCTGGGAGCCCCAAGAGGCTTCAGGAAGCCCCAGGTGGGGTCCAGGAGGCCACAAGAGCCCCAGGAGGAAGCCCCTTTATTTTGAGGGGCCCAAGCGGCCACAGGTTAGATATCCCCCCTGGGAGCCCCAAGAGGCTTCAGGAAGCCCCAGGTGGAGTTCAGAAGGCCGCAGGAGGCCCAGGAGGAAGCCCCAGGAGGTCCCCAGGAGGCCCCCGCAACTCGGAGCTCTGAGACGCCGCGCTCGAGGTGGTCTGGCCCGTTTCGCCTGAGACTTCCTCGCAGCACGTTTCGCCCGAGACACCGGCCCGTCTCGCCTGAGACATCCTTGCAACTCTGATCTCTGAGATGCCGTGCGCAAGTTGGTCCGGCCCGTTTCACACAAGACATTCTCGCAACTCTGAGCTCCCAGGTGCCGCGCAAGAGGTGGTCCAGCCTGGGGGCCCAGACGACCACACGTTACATATCCTCTCTGGGACCCTGGGAGCCCCAGGAGGCCCCAGAGAGCCTCAGGAAGCCGCAGGACGCCCACAAGACATTCTCGCAACTCTGAGCTCTCAGATGCTGCGCAAGAGGTGGTCCAGCCTGGGGGCCCAGAAGACCACATGTTACAGATCCCCCTTGGGACCCTGGGAGCCCCAGGAGGCCCCAGAGAGCTCCAGGAGGCCGCAGGACGCCCAGGACAGGCCCCAGGGGTCCGCAGGAGATTCCCAGGAGGCTCCCAGGAGGCCCCAGGAGGCCCCCTATCAGAACGTGTCAAGTTAATACACATCCGGTGTCGATTCGTTGATTTTTCCTGCTCTTGTGGCCCCCCCCATTTTGGGGGGGCCCGACGGCCACATGTTAGATATCCCCCCCTGGGAGCCCCAAGAGGCTTCAGGAAGCCCCAGGTGGGGTCCAGGAGGCCACAGGAGGCCCAGGAGGAAGCCCCAGGAGGTCACCAGGAGGTCCCAGGAGGCCCCAGGAGGCCCCCGCAACTCGGAGCTCTGAGACGCCGCGCTCGAGGTGGTCTGGCCCGTTTCGCCTGAGACTTCCTCGCAGCACGTTTCGCCCGAGACATCGTCGCAACTCTGGGGTCCGAAATGCCGCGCGCGAGGTGGTCCAGCCCGTTACGCTGGAGACATCCTCGCAACTGTGGGCTCCGAGATGCCCTGCGCGAGGTGGTCCGGCCCATCTCGCCTGAGACATCCTCGTAACTCTGAGCTTTGAGATGCCGTGCGCAAGGTGGCCCGGCCCGTTTCGCACAAGACATTCTCGCAACTCTGAGCTCTCGGATGCTGCGCAAGAGGTGGTCCAGCCTGGAGCCCAGAAGACCACATGTTACAGATCCCCCCTGGGACCCTGGGAGCCCCAGGAGGCCCCAGAGAGCTTCAGGAGGCCGCAGGACGCCCAGGACAGGCCCCAGGGGTCCGCAGGAGATTCCCAGGAGGCTCCCAGGAGGCCCCAGGAGGCCCCCTATCAGAACGTGTCAAGTAAATACACATCCGGTGCCGATTCGTTGATTTTTCCTGCTCTTGTGCCCCCCCCCCCATTTGGGGGGGCCCGACGGCCACATGTTAGATATCCCCCCCTGGGAGCCCCAAGAGGCTTCAGGAAGCCCCAGGTGGGGTCCAGGAGGCCACAGGAGGCCCAGGAGGAAGCCCCAGGAGGTCACCAGGAGGTCCCACGAGGCCCCAGGAGGCCCCCGCAACTCGGAGCTCTGAGACGCCGCGCTCGAGGTGGTCCGGCCCGTTTCGCCTGAGACTTCCTCGCAGCACGTTTCGCCCGAGACATCGTCGCAAATCTGGGGTCCGAAATGCCGCGCGCGAGGTGGACCAGCCCGTTACGCTGGAGACATCCTCGCAACTTTGGGCTCCGAGATGCCGTTCGGGATGAAGAGGAGGTGGAGGAGGAGGAGCAGGAGGCATGTTGTAACATGCCATGCCAGCACGCACTGGACGGGCACGCAATCGACCTTGGAAACCGCAGTGGGTCTAAAAAACCTGTTTGGGGATACTGCACTCCGGCTATAATTTTTTAATTAAGCTGAAGCGCTGAAGCGCTGGCCTCATTTTCGGGCTACCGCTCGTTCCGAATCGTGCTTCCGCCGCAGCGCTGGCCTCATTTCCGCGCTTCCGCTCGTTCCAAATCGTGCTCCCGCTGCAGCGTTGGCGTCATTGTCGTCCAGTGCCATGCCACGGCATGGTTTTCGGTCCTTCCAAATATGCACCAACATCAAAAACCAGGGCCTCCCGAAGAAACCATCGGAAGTGATTACACATTCGGTGACGATGATTTGATTTGTTGGGCCGCAGAGCCCCCCCTATCATTTTGGGGCGTCGCCACGCCATGCTATGTCATGCTACGCGTTACTCTTCAACACCATGTTATGCCATGTAAGATGCCATGCTACGACATCCGATTGTGCGGATAGGGAGGAGACGTGCGCTTTGGTAAGGGATGGGAGGGAGGGGTCGGACGTCAGACATGACGCGAGCGCACCTAGCTTGTCCCCCTCCCCCTCCCCCTCCCCCTCCCCCTCACCTTCTCTTCCTCCTCCTCCTCCTGCTCGTCCTCCTCCTCCTCCTCCTCCTCCTCCTCCTCCTCCTCCTCCTCCCCCCTCCTCCTCCTCCTCCTCCTCCTCTCCTCCACTGCACCCCCTCCTCCTCTCCTCCTCCTCCTCCTTCTCCTCCTCTCCTCCTCCTCCTCCATTGCCTCCTCCTCCTCCTACTCCTCTCCTCCTCTCCTCTTCTCCATTTCCTCCTCCTCCTCTCCTCGTCCTCGTCCTCCTCCTCCTCCCCCTCCTCCTCGTCCTCCTCCCCCTCCCCCCTCCTCCCCGTCCTCCACTTGCCCCTCTCGGCGCGCCGCCACCAGCTCCAGCGCTAGGGGGGGGGAGGGGGGCAAGGGGCGGAGAGAATGTGTCGGCCCACGGCTGCTGCAGCAGCTGGCTCGGGCGCGCCAGTGCACCGACAGGGCTCCAGGACACCCCAGGAAGGACACCCCAGGAGAGCGACAGATGCTGAGCCTGTTTTTCACCACCACCACCATAAGTTGGATGAGGGGAAGGGCGAGGAGGAGGAGGAGGGCGAGGAGGAGGAGGACGAAGAGGAGAAGGAGGAGGAGGAGGAGGAGGAGGAGGAGGAGGAGGAGGAGGACCCCCTCCCCCTCCTACCTTTAGTGGTGGTAGTGGAAAACACGCCCACCAAGAGGCGGCGCGCCAGGGCCCCAAGAGACGGCCCGCAGAGGGCCCGATGACGGCCAAATGTGGCCCCTTAGACGCCGCCCGAGGCGCTCCCAAATCATGGCCCTGTCGTTCCGGGAGGCCACGGCTGGAAGCGGTGTGGCCTGAGGAAGCATCCAGTAGCCTCCAGAAGGCGCCCAGGAGGCGGCCCGAGGCCCCCCAGGAAGCTTGCAGCCAGCTTTCGTGAGTCTCCCTCTCCAAGGAGGAGCTTCCGCCAAAAGAGCCGAGGAGGACTGGGAAGGGTTCGAGTGATAGGGCGGGAATGAGGAAGAGGACGAGGGAGTATGGGGGAAGGAGAAGAAGCAACACTAGTATATTGACGATGTCGAAAGCAGCGACAAGGAATTCTCGCTCCTTCTTTTCGGATGTACTTTCCTCTCCTTCCGCCTGCATGCCGAACTTGAAGGACCGAGGTGCATGGCGCGAAGCGCCATTGCAGTCTCTCTCTCTCTCTCTCTGTGTATATATATGGATAGATAGACATGTACATACTAGTATGCACATTTATACGTACTCATATCTACAGGGAAAAGGATGGAGGAGGATAATACCCTTACCCCCTAACAGCGACGACGACTGCGTCGCGGTGGCTGGGCCAACAGGGCGGGGTTGGAAGATCCAGACGGGACGGCAAAAGGAGCCATGATGGGACCGGCGTTAGGATTCTCGCGCTCCCTCGGACGGCATGGTGCGCTAGAAAGGGGTCCTCCTGACCGCTGTCCACCGGCAGCAGCAGACACGGCCACTTCCACGCCCTCGCGGCCGGGATCGCTTGGCCGCGATCTCCCCCCCCCGAAACAGAAACAAAAGTGTGTTCCGCCGCCGCTCGGCGCGAATGCCGATGCCACGCGCCATGGATTTAGGCGTGAAGCTCGTGGGGTGGCGTTGTCGAGCATCTTGTCCGCGAGGGCGCGTAGATGGCTTCATGCTTGCCGCCCGTGAGCCCTGCTTCCTGTGCGTTGATGGCCCGCCTCCAGTTGCGGGAGGCGGGGGGTGGACGTTTGGGGACGTTGCTCCGTTTCCTCTTCCTGGTGCCGCGCTTGCTTTTTTTGCTCGTCCACAGTCGCCCCTCGTTTCCTCAGACATCCCCGGCGCCATGCCATCGCAGCACGCTTTCCCTACTGTTCCTCGGATTTCCATGTCATGAGTCAGTGTCCATCAGTCGCGTGGGTCATTATCTGCGCAGTGGTTGCCTCTCAATGGTCGACCCCGTAGCGCCAACGTGCTGAATTGCGAGCAAGTCTTAGTGTCGATGAGGCGTCGTGAATCATGCGCAGCTTTTCTGCCGAGCACGGCGGACGTGTCGGGAACTCTTTGCGTCAGTCGATGTCATTTGGCCTGCAGCCATGGAACGCGGTCGCCGCTCTTGCACTTGCCCGTCCCTCCCCATACTACAGTATGCTCCCGATCTTGCCCGCGTTGCCCCTCCCTCTCGTCCTGCTCGGTCCTCCTCCTCTGGTCCCTTCTCCTTCCCCTCCTCCTTTCACTGTTCCTCCTTCCTCCTCCTTCCTCCTGAGATGCCTCCTTCCTCCTCCTCCTCCTTTCACTGTTCCTCCTTCCTCCTCCTTCCTCCTCCTCCTTTTGTCCCTTCTCCTTCCCCTCCTCCTGAGATGCCTTCCGGATCCTCCAGCTCTGGTTCCTTCTCTTGCTGCGCCGCTTCCTTCTCATCCTCGTACTTCTGAAGCTCGACAGCGGCGCCGAGGACTGCGCTGACCTGAGACATGCGCGGACCTCCGACAGTTTCTGGATTCAAGCTCCAGCCGCTGCTACTGCTGCTAGTCCTGGTCGTCCTCATCGTCTCCGTCCTCCTCCTGCTCCTCCGCCCTTCATCCCCGAACCGCGATATCCTCGATCTTCGGCCGACGAGCCGAGACCTTCGAGATCCCCGATCCCCACTGTCCTCGATCGTGGGCCGACGACGACGAGCCCCCAGACGGCCAGGCGCGCCCCTCGAGCCCAGGCCTCCGATATCCGACGATCGATCCGACCGACCACGACGAGGAGCTCCGAACAGGGCCAAAGAAGCGCCCACGAACCCAGACCTTCGCGATCCTCGGACTTCGATGCTCTCGATCGTCAGCCGACGACGACGACGAGGACTCCAAACAGTGCAGAAGCGCCCACGAGTCGAGACCCTCGCGATCCTCGCGATCCTCGATCGTCGACCGACGACTGCGAGAGGTCCCGAACAGGGCCACGGGCGCCCGCGGACCGAGACCCTCGGTACCCGAACCTCGAGGTCCTCGGTCGTCGACCGACGGCGACCCGAGGCCCCAGGCAGCGCCCCCGGCGCCCACGAGTCGAGGCCTCCGATCCTCGAACCTCGATGTCCTCGCTCGCCGGCCGACGGCGACGACAGGCCCCAAGCAGGGCCAGACGCGCTCGGGAACCGAGGCGTTCGAGCCTCGAGCCCCGACGTCCTCGATCGTCGGCCGACGACGAGGGGAGGCCCCAAACAGCGCCCCCAGCGCCTACGAATCCAGACCTTCGATCCCCGAGCCTCGATATCCCCGATCGTCGACCGACGACGACAAGAGGACTCCAAACAGGGCCAGGAGCGCCCATGAATCGAGACCTTAGATCCCCGAACGTCGATGTCTTCGACCACCGTTCTGCGACGACGAGAGGCCCCAGACAGGGTCAGAAGCGTCTACGCACCGAGACCTTCGATCCCCGAGCCTCGATAGCCTCGATATCCTCGATCGTCGACCAGTGACGGCGACGAGAGGCCCCACACAGGGCCAGAAGCGCCCACGAACCGAGACCTTCGATCCCCGAACCTCGATATCCTCGATCATCGACCTACGACGCCGCCGCCACCGACGACGCCGTCGACGACGCCGCAGCCGCCGACGACGCCGCCGCCGACGACGACGATGACGACGACGACGCGGAAGACGGACGGGGGCGGCGGCGACGCCCGGCAACCCCGCGCCGCGCCAGCGAGAGAGTCGACATCGAGTCGCAGCTCCGGCGGCGGAGGTGCTGCTGCTGAGCGCCTGCGGAACGCGCGCCGATGACGCTGCCGCCAGGGGCTCCTGCTGCTCCTCTGGCTAGGCTGGGCCCTTCGCCGTTGGCTGGGCCAGGCCCTCCTCCCCCTCCCCCTCCTCCTCCTCCTCCTCCTCCTCTCCTCCTCCTCCTCCTCCTCCTCCTCTCTCCTCCTCATCCTCCTCCTCCTCCTCCTCCCTCTCCTCCTCCTCCCTCCTCCTCCTCATCCTCCCCCCCTCCTCCTCCTCCCTCCCTCCCTCCTCTCCTCCTCCTCCTCCTCCTCCTCATCCTCCTCCTCCTCCTCCTCCTCTCCTCCCCCTCCTCCTTCCCTCTCCTCCCCCTCCTCCTCCTCCCCTCCTCCTCCCTCCTCCTCGTCGTTGTCGTCGTCGTCCTCCTCCTCCTCCTCCCCCTCCTCATCCTCCTCCTCCTCCTCCTCCCTCCTCCTCCCTCCTCCTCCTCATCCCCCTCCTCCTCCTTCTCCTCCCCTCCTCCTCCTCCCCCTCCTCATCCTCGTCGTTGTCGTCGTCCTCCTCCTCCTCCTCCTCCTCCTCCTCCTCCTCCTCTTCCCCCTCCTCCTGCCTCCGAGGTTTAGGCCCCGCTGTGCGCGCCACGCACCGCACAGCGGCGGTGTGATGTGGGCTACCTTCTGAGGCTGCCGCCGTCGCGGTCTCCTGGTGCTGCCGGGTGGTGCTGCCGTGCTGCCGTGGAGCGGTCGAGCGCTGTGCAGCGTGGGAGCAGATCGGCTATAGCCAGGACCCCAGGTACGGGGACCCGGTTAGTGGTAGGGCCCTGGAGCCCCTAAATTGGCCAGAATCACTAAACCAGGTCCGCCGTAGCTGCTGTTTTTTCGGGTGACGGCAGTTCCGGTTAGTGGAATGGGGCGGGGGGGCGTCCCCAGGTACACATCACTCAACCAGGTCCCGCTAAACCCAGTTCTGCCAACGCCCGAGCAGAGTCCAGCTGTTGCTGCTCTCGGAGCAGTGAGTGCGGCGGCTTAGTTGCCTCGATACGCACGTCTTGAATCGCAACACGTCCCGTGTTGAAGACGTCCGTGTCAATACGTTGCGTGTTGGCTCCACGTATTGGCCCACGTTTCGGCGAACGTATCGCGTCGGACCTACGTTTTCAGTCCACGTGTTGAGCTCCGTATCCATACGCCACGTGTCACGTGTTGCGTATCGGGGCAGCTAAGTGCGGAGATTTGCGTGGAGTAGTGCAGAGGTCGGGAGTCGGTGATGGGACAGCTGGTGGCGCGTTGCCCTGTCTGAGCAAAAACGGGCAGGATCTGCGGTCGCTGGTAGCAAAAATGGTGTAGGAGAAGTATTGGCGCTCTGACGGGCCTCCGTGTGGCAGGTCCCGTCTCGGCATGAGGGTTGCGTTTGCCGCGTAGCCGTGGGTTGCCGGAAGGACAGAGGTGGTGGTGAGTTTTCACTCGGTAAAGCCATGTGGGGTGGGCGTCGTGTTGTAGTCGATCACGCTGCCGGCGCGGTCGCAGTGGGGTTGTCCGCATCGGATGCGGTTCCCGTGGTCTCAGGTTTGTTACGTTTGCTGTCTGTGCTGGTCGTTAGGTCAGCGTTCGTTTTGGTGTAGTCCATCCATGCTGTCGTAGCTGGGGTAGTACTCGTCCTCGTTCTGGTCCGTAATGGCGTTCGGGTGTGCTTGTTGTACTGGGTATCGCGTGTCGAATAGTTCGGCCTCGGTGCTGGGCGTATTGTGCTCAGAGATCGTGACTTCCGTTGTTGGTGGTCGGGGTGGTCGCATGCCTTCACGTGGGGATGTCGGGAGCGTGTACTGCTCCAGCAGGAGCTTACGTGCTTGCTGGTTGAAGGGTCTGCTGTCGGCCGTGAGGGCGAGTCCTCGCGTGAAGAGGGCGGCTGTCTGCAGAGTGTCGGTACCGCTGTAAGTGGCTGGTTGAGACGTAGGTCCCTGCTGCTGGCTGTTGTCTTGGGATCGCGTCGGTTGGTGGGTAACGTGGCCGTCTGGGCTAGCCGTTGAGCCTTGGTGGCTGGTGCCTGGCGTGGGGCCTGGTGGTGGAAAATGGTGGTCTGGTTCCTGGTCTGTCAGTTGTCCAGGAAGGGTTGGGCTGGTCTCACCGCTGCCTGTAGCAGCATGTTTATGCAGTAGAGCATATCCTCGGCGATGCTTATCTGGAAGGCAGAAGTGGTGGACGGCGCTCGTGTGCCTGTCGGCTTCTTCCGCAACGCAAGCTGGATGTAGTTGTATTTCTCGTCGCATTCACGTCGCGCATGGTGTTGTATAGGTATGTCAGTACGGTCATCAGCTACTGGGTATGGCGCAATGCTGCGCAGCTGGTGGATGATAAAGTGCACTAACACAGTCTGTCCTCCTTCTCCGCCTCCTCCGCCTCCACCTCCTCCTCCGCGAGCGCGCAGGCTGAAGGCGCCGAGACGTGTGGCAGGCTTGTGTCGTATCGGCGCGGCGGCGAAACCAGAGCGGGCACTGAAGACTGACCGCCGCCAGTGGCTCAAAAAGGTATTGTGGAGCCCAAAAGGTACCTATACCGCTACACCCCAGACCTCTCCTGGGGTGCGTTCTGACCAGGATTCCGACGCAAATCCAGCGGTGGCGACGAGGGCTTCCCAGGAGGCCCAAACAGGGGAAAACGTTGCAAATGTAGAGGTACGGATACCTTCTCCTCCCCCGTGGTATGGAGCGAATCTGGTAAAATTGCCGCCGACCGTCCAAGGTCG